AGGATGGCATTGTCATTTCTCAAAAAAACTTCTGCTGATTTATGGGAATTCTTTCGTAAGTATGGCCGCCTATGGGAAATGATGTCCCAGTGTGATACCTATATCCGCCGCCGCTGCTGCTGCTGCTGCTGCTGCTGCTGCTGCTGCTACATTATTTAGTCACGTTCGCATTTACTAGGGCGCCGAGTCTCGACCCTCGCGCATCTATATCAATATAGAGAGAGGCACGGTCGCTTCTTCGCGCCAAACCTGGCCGAGTCTAGACGACGTCGCGACCTCCCCGACGTGCCCGGCCGCGGCGCCCTCTGGCGCGTCGGGGTCAGTCTAGAGTGGCATCGAGGGCAGACAAGGCAAACATATCGCGGTGGTTCTCGGACAATTAATTACTCGTCGGAGGCGGACGGACGTTTTCTCGACGTTTCGCAGATTTCTTCGAGAGTGCGTGCGCGTGTGTTCCCCCTCTCAATACGTAGTCAGGTTTCTGTGTACTCAGGGTAGCACTCGCCTATAGCTAGCTGCTGGCGGTGCCGCTCATGACGCCACTAGCACGTCATCTACTCACCCGACAAACCCTCCGTCACTAAACACCTACATTTTTATTTGATCTAACTTTATTTAAATTATTTATTTATATATTTACTCACTCGTGATCAATAACTCCGATCGCCAGTGATCGTTGCGAATTCTCGTTATTCACTGAATAGTACTACATATCAGAAGTCGATCATAGGAACCTTATATCATACAATTATACAAGTCTTATCTTATCATCTTACTTGTAAAACCTCATGCACTTATAGCGTCAACTCTGGCGCCGCGTACACAAAACAACAACAACAACAACAACAACAACAACAACAACAACAACAACAACAACAACAACAACAACAACGGTAGCTCGAACAGCGACACCGGAGATGTGGGGCGTGCTGTGGCGCGACGCGGAATCCATGCAGTCAGACGCTATCTGTTTAAACCCAGCTAGGAGTTGGCAGCCGAGCTATACACGCGCGCATCTCTCTCTCGCGCGCGCTACGCTGTCTATCGTCTGCCTGCCTGCCTGCCTGCCTGCCTGCCTGCCCGGCGACGTCGTTGTTATAATTGCGTATTTCGCGTATAACTATCCGTTACCGGGAATAACACGAGATCGACCTTTCACGAAGTGGACGCAGATGCGCGTGGACGCGCGGGAGCAGATCCATAGTAACGGTGCGTGAGGAGGAGGCGGCGCGATGCGTTCGCACGCGTCTGCCGCTTGCACGCGCGCGCGTACACGTGCGTACGTACGTACCTGCGGGCGTGCGTGCATGCGTGTGTACATGCGTGCGTGCGTGCGTGTGTACGTGCGTGCGTGCGTGTGTACATGCGTGCGTGCGTGCGTGTGTACGTGCGTGCGTGCGTGTGTATGTGCGCACGCGCGCGCGTACACGTGCGTACGTACCTGCGTGCGTGCGTGCGTGCGTGTGTACATGCGTGCGTGCATGCGTGCATGCGTGTGTACGTGCGTGCGTGCGTGCGTACGTGTGTACGTGCATGTATGCGTGCGTGCGTGTGTACGTGCGTGCGTGCGTGCGTGTGTACGTGCGTGCGTGCGTGTGTACGTGCATGCGTACTAGCGTGCATGCGTTCGCGCGTACTTGCATGCGTGCGTGCGTGCGTGCGTGCGTGCGTGCTGTCAAGCGCAGCAGCGAGGCAATCAAGGGAGGAGAGGACACGGCAGGCAGCACGGCTCTCGATCGACGCAGCTCACTGTCCGCGCCCGTCAATCCACGGAACATGTTTTGATCCCGGGATGAAAGAGCTAGGCGTTCATCGGCAAGTAATTGGAATAGAGGCACAGAGGCGGCGGCTGCTGCTGCTGCTGCTGCTGCTGCTGCGAGTGCGTAGGGAGGGGGAGCGGGCCGGCGGGAGAGCGGGCAGACAGGAGTGCGTGGGGGAGCGGGCAGTCGTAAGTGCGCGGGGGAGCGGGCAGACAGGAGTGCGTGGGGGAGCGGGCAGACAGGAGTGCGTGGGGCCCATGGAGCGGGCAGGCGGTAGTGCGTGCGTGGGTAGGGGGTCAAGTGCCGCGATGATTAGTTGCAAGCTTTAGATATCATATACGCTAGGAATCAAGGATGAAGGACTACCCAAACCTTTATTGTTCTGTAGCAATTTTATTGGGATTTTTTTCTCATCTCAAATTAAAAAGTTCGC